CAGAGGGAAGAAGTTCTTCCTCGGGTTCAGCTGGAACTTCCCAGGCTTCAGTTTGTGCCCATTGCCCCTGGTCCTGTCACTGGCCACCACTGCAAAGAGTCTGGCCCCGTCCTCCTGACCCCCACCCTGCAGATATTTAGAGGCATTTCTAAGGTCCCCTCTCAGCCTTCTCTTCTCCAGGCTGAACAAGCCCAGCTCCCTCAGTCTCTCCTCGTAGGAGAGATAATCTGCAGAGAGAGATAATCTGCATGGGATTCAGCATCCTAATTTACATGGAAGGCAATTTCTCTGGGATCCCCTAAGGCTTAAGAGAAGAGCATGAAACATTTGTCCGTGCTGATGATGTGATCAGTGGTACTGAGGCTTTTAAGCACAGGCTTGTTTGCTGGGGGGAGCAAGGGAGCGTTTGCTCCCGAGACTGCGTTGATAGGAGCTGAATGAGCAGCTCTCCTGACACCCGGAGAGAGCCACTTTGCTCTCTGCGCCTCGCAAATCGTGGTGCTTTCGTGTGGGTAGAAGTCATCTGTTTTTTTTATCCCTTTTCTAGGCATCAGAGTTAAACTGCCTAGTTGGTAGTTTGGTTCCTCTCTCTTTATGCTATTTTAAAAGTAGCCCCGACATTTGCCCTCTCCGAACAGTGTCTCGCCATCCTCCGTGAATTTTCAAAGACAGAGGTCATTAAAGAGATTGTCTCAGCCCATTACCATGTACACCTGAATGAATTTCAGCTGGCCCAGCCAGCTGGAAGAGATCTAATCTTTATTAGCACTTTCCAACACGTTCTTTCCCTGTTCTCTCTGAAGATTTGCCTCTGATATTAGCTGCCAGTTGAATGCAGCAAGGTAAAGATAGCGAGTACTGTAGCAAAAAAAGACATTAAATACTTCAGCTTTTATGGCATCATCTGTCAATAGCTTTTCTACTCTGCTGAGCAGTAGAGCAACATTTTTCCTGTTTTTTTTTCTTATTACAAATGGACTTGTAGAACTTTTTCTTGCTACCTTTGCGAGCTGTAAGACATTTTTTTACTTTAGCCTTCATTCGTTTCTCGGTGTTTGTTATTCTTTTATACTCACATGGCATTCTGACTGTGTATATGTGTCCTTGAGTTTGAGATCGCTGAGCAGCTTATGGCTTAGCCGGGTTCATTTCCAGGATTTTTCTGCATTGGGATATTTTTCACTTGCATCATTTCGCTAAGGAAGCGTTTGCTCCCCGTACCTTCTTTTCTCCTTTCACCTGCATCTGTTGGTCCTTGTACTGGCAAGCCTCAGAGATCTTGAAGTGTCCTTGCTTTAAAATCCTTTCTCTTTATTATGTTGTTTCCTGTTTCCCTCCTGAAGAGCCATGAACTGTTGTTTAATCATCACCTTCATGCAAGTCGTCTTTGCCTTCCTTATCCTATGGGACTTCTCAGTGCTGGAGCATCCTGCACCCAAACCATGGTCTTTGCTCCTGTCATCACCAACGCACTCCAAGGACGCTGGACAAATGCGTGTCCTATAACGTATCTGAGTAGTTGCAGTACTTCGTTACATCTTGTGCTGTGGTTGATTGTTCCAGTTCCTGGTTAAAAAACCCAAACCGTTTACCTTCTTGGTTGTTTGGCATCTGGTGGATGCATTAAAGGCATTAAAGTCAATCCTTTATTTAATTTGGAGAAGGTCGCTTCACACTGAAAACAGATTCACGGGGGATGCTGCAGCTTCAGTTTTATAAAAGAAGTGGATACAAGGATGGTGAGGGGCCTGGAGCATCTCTCCTACGAGGAGAGGCTGAGGGAGCTGGGCTTGTTCAGCCTGGAGAAGAGAAGACTGAGAGGGGACCTTAGAAATGCCTCTAAATATCTGCAGAGTGGGGGTCAGGAGGACGGGGCCAGACTCTTTCCAGTGGTGCCCAGTGACAGGACAAGGGGCAATGGGCACAAACTGAAGCACAGGAAGTTCCAGCTGAACACGAGGAAGAACTTCTTCCCTCTGAGGGTGACGGAGCCCTGGCCCAGGCTGCCCAGGGAGGCTGTGGAGTCTCCTTCTCTGGAGATATTCCAGCCCCCCCTGGACCCGGGGCCTGTGCAGCCTGCTCTGGGTGACCCTGCTTGGGCAGGGGGTTTGGCTGGGTGACCCACATAGGTCCCTTCCAACCCCTGCCATGCTGGCATTCTGTGATTAGTGCCAGAAAGTAGGAGGTTATTGTGACTGAGAGAAGTAACAGCTGAGCAATATCGTCGTTTTGAAGCGGGGATCTGAGGGAGGGTGCCTGCATGAGCAGGACCACTGTTTTCTGTGCATTCTGTGCCTGCGGCCCCACAGTGCTTTCTCGTAGGGGCGGTGGTGAGGAAGATGGACCAGCAGATATTGTACAGTTAGGTGTAGCTATAGCTAATGGCTGAGATCGGGCATTTGCTGGGAGCAGCTGGGTTTGTAACTGCTTCCTGCAGGAGCAGGAGAAACCGTGCAGAGGAAAAGAGGGTAAAGCTATTTTGAAGCCTCAAAGTAGTGAAATGGGTATTTCCCCCTAACTTCTGCCTGTAACACAAATACATATATTAATGAAAATCGATTTCATGAGGGCAGGGGGAGACCTCAGCACCGGCTGGGGGAGGAGCGGCCCAGCTGCCGGCCGTCACGGTGGGGTGCTCTGCCGGCGGGACGTCTGTGAGCAGCATCCCGGAGCACGGGTCTCTGGGCTGCCGTCTGCCCCAAAATCTGTCAGGGGTGCAGGGGGGGTTTCTGATCTCCTCAGAAGCTGAATACTGTCGTCTGTGCAGTGGGTATTGAGGTAAGATGGAAGAGCGTGGAAATGGTGGAAGTCTTTATTTTTAATTTGCTTTTTTTTTTTTTAATTTTTGTCCTCCCAGTAGCCTCTTGGTTTCTGTAATACCAAGCACGTGCGTAAACACATGCACTCGCACCCTCACGCTTTTTCGTTTTTAATATTCCGGGTACTGGAAGTGACTTTTTAAAAACTGAGATAAAATTACTTTTGTACTGAATATAGTACTGTCTGTCTCATCACCGCAGTGCAGCTAGGGATGTAATTACTCAGATGTGGCTGATCACCTTTCTTGCTAGAAAAGGAGAGGAGTTTGTGTCGGTTCCATCGCTGCTTTGTGGTTTAAATCTTTAACGACGTTTAGACATAATGTGAAAGGCAGTGGACTAAGCAAGAGTGTTGGGTTTTGCTTCTCACTAAGGGGGAAAACACCCCACCCGTGGGATCACACTTGAAATCGGTGTAATCCTCGGCCTCGACGCCTGTGGAAGAGCTTGGTGGTGGGGCTGCACTGGCTCACGATGGCTGTCCCGGACGATGGTCCCGGTGGTCTTCCCATCTGCTTGGGCTCTGAGCAACCTGATCTAGTTACCGGTGTCCCTGCTCGCTGCGGGGGGTTGGACTGGATGACCTCTAGGGGTCCCTTGCAACCCAAAACTTTCTGTGGTTCTATGATTCTATGATCTGTCTCTTGACTTTCACTTGGGCTGCAAGATCTTTGGGACAGGATGGGTATTTTTCCTTACGTGTTGACAGCCAGTAGTATACAAATGTTCTCTTGGCTGGCACAAGATGCATTTCAGAAAATGAGTAAGTATAAATTCTTCCTTTGTTCTCTGCTCTTTAGAATTGCTGTGTGAGGGAGAGCACAAAAATACCCCCCTACACCCCCAACAGAGTAAAACCTCTTCTCAAAGGAAATATTAAACGCAAACGCCTGAACTTGGACTAAAATAATAGGTATACAGTTTATCTTTTGGCCTTCCCTTGGAAGAAAACCACTATTGAAGTGTAACATTAGATATGCTGTACTCCTGTGGAGTGTTCCTTTAGTTTTCCTAGAATAATTCCGTTCGTCTCACATGGCTTAGCTTGCAGAAAAATTGAACAACACTTCAGGGATATTTTAAGGTTGCAACTTAATCGGCAGTTGACTTTGGAAAACTAAATATAAACCCAGGAGGAGCCTGTTGCTGAGTAAAAGTAACTTCTGGTCAGTTCCAGGCCTGAAATAATTTAACCTTGCTATCATTTATTTTTCATTTTTTGTCTTGAGGTTGGCAGGAAAGCTGGAGCACTGGGCAGCAGCCATTGCTGCATCTTCCTTTTCCAGTTATGTTTATATCAGAGATGGAAAGCAAAAAAAGACCCCAAACCTGTGCCAGAAAGAGGGACTTTCTATTCGCTCTTCTAGTGGGAGTGTGGTACTCACAGGAGAGGGATGCTGATGCTTAAGCACCAGAAAGCTTGTTCATGTTTGGATCCTACCGAGGTGTCCGAGCCCAAGCCCCGAGGGAGAGAGCCCTTCCAGTGGTGGCAGGGGTCCCGGGGGGGGCCGATGCCTCTCCAGGGGCAGATACTCTTATTATTTACTGCCATTTACATTTTCGCACAAGGCTCCATCGCATCCGTACAACCATGCCACCTTGTGTTAATTTCTGTTTGCTTATGGCCTGGAGAAGTCAAAGAAAAAAAATTAAATAGAATTTTCTGTGTGTGGTTGCGTGTATATATGTCATTTTTTAATGCTGTTAATGATTCACTTCTATCTCCCTGTCCGAGTGTGTATGGACAGCAGGGGAAGTGATTCCACTCTGTCACTTTCTACTTCAAAATTTAGAATAAAGACATTATATTTCATAGGTATATTTTCAAAATATGTTAACGATGGAGAAGTTGAGCTATTGTGGTATGCTTCTGGTCCAGCGTGGGTAACGCTTCCTGGACTGCCATAAACTCCCTGCTCAGAAGTGGGTTATGCCTCGGCTCGGGGAGTTTGGTCCGTTATATCCCCAGCTCCCTGCAAGTTTTGGGTGGGTAGGGGTCATTTTGGCAGAGAAACAACCTGTGGATTTTGCACCATGGAGTTAGTAGCATTAAGAGTGTTTTATTGTGAGGGGTTACGTTTGAGAATGCTTTAAATTAAAAAAAAAATTATAGATACGCATAAAGCTTTTCAAAAGAAAATGTATTAATTAGACCTTTGCCTCTTTTCTACACAGTCAGCAGCAGAATATGTGAAGTCCCGGCTGCCTGAAGTCCTAAAACAACATCTTCAAGACTATGAGAAGGACAAGGAGAACAGCGTGCTGTCTTACCAAACCATCCTGGAACAGCAGATTTTATCAATTGATCGAGAAATGCTGGAAAAATTGACTGTATCCTATGATGAAGCAGGTATATTTGTGTTTCTTTCAAAGTTACATTTTACTGAAAAAAAATTTTCCTTATTTTCAGTCTTTCTTCCGAATACTAGGGTTTGTGCTGGCAAATTGAACTTTGTCCTCAAAGATATGAGGTGACTCAGTGAAACACTTCTTTCTCCGAAAATCAAGTTGAGATGGAAAATTTTCCACTTCAGTGATTGAATACTAACTAGCTAAATGGACAGTTGTTTTTCTAACGGCGCTTTGTCCTCTGTAATGCACTGATGTTGATTGATCTAGCCGTGCCTCTTTATTGTCTCTGCAAGTGGTGCGACCTGGCTTCTGCTGGTTTCTCCTTCACTGATCACTTATTTTTGGGTCTCACTTAGCTAAGAGTGTACTGGATAGTCACAGAATCTGATTTTTAAATGTGATGTGATGCATGTGGATAGCCAATACCAAATAATTTGTATAGTGTTGGAGGCATGTTAACAGTGCAGTTATAGGGGTTTTCAGTTTTTATATTTACGTCTGAATGATTTGGAGGTTTTCTTAGTTATAGTTAATACTTTTTACTAGCATTCTGTTTTAAAGTAGTTAGAAATGTCTTCCAGCTTTTGGATCCTTCACTGAGTTGTCCTGATACGTGATCTTCTTTATAGTTACAGAGAAACAAAGAGAAACAGTAATAGTTGCTGATCTTCCAAAGTAGAATCATAGAATCACAGAATGCTTTGGGTTGGAAGGGCCCTTCAAAGGCCATCCAGTCCAACCCCCCACCGTGATCAGGGACATCTTCACCTGGATCAGGTTGCTCACAGCCCCGTCCAGCCTGCCCTTGAATGTTCCCAGGGCTGGGGCATCTCCCACCGCTCTGGGCAACCTGTGCCAGGGTTTCACCACCCTCACTGTAAAACATTTCTTCCTTATATCCAGTCTAACTTTATCCTCTTTTGGTTTAAAACCATCACCCCTTGTCCTATCGCAACAGGCCCTGCTAAAAAGCCTGTCCCCATCTTTCTTATCAGCCCCCTTTGAGTACTGGAAGGCCACAAGAAGGTCTCCCTGCAGCTTTCTCTTCTCCAGGCTGAACAACCCCAGCTCTCTCAGGTTTTATTCATAGCCACCAATATCTGCTATGTGCCCTCAACCTTACCAAGTTTCTCGGTGTTTATATAAATTGAAATTATCTATGCAACCTTGTAAAGAAAGAATCAAACAAAAAGAACAGTTCGTTATTTTACTGCTGAATTAGTACTGGTGGCAGCGACGGGCCAGCAGTGCGTACGGAGGTCCGTGTTTTCCAGCCGGGGTGTGCAGATGCCTGGCTCACCGCGCTCCCCCGACGAGCAGCAGCAAAGGCACTGCTCTCTGTTTCTCCAGTTCCCTTTAACCACTCGTGACTGAGAGCTGCAACACACCATCTCCTTTCCTCTGCGGCCCTACCAACCAGCCTCGGGCAGCCTTGTAGTACAAAAAGAGAGTTTATACTTAGTATGTCTCCATTTGGGGGTTTTTTCTTAATCCCTGGCGGCACTTTCTTGTTCTGTTACTTCCCTGACCGTACCTGGCATCACGGTGCCCTTGGGGAACTGTGCTGAGCTCAGCTCCAAGTTTTTCTTCCAGCTATGTTAGGCAGAAGCCTCGAACTCATAACTGGGTTTTTCATCCTGTTTAGATCATGTTTGCCAGACACCAGCCTGAGTGGATCATGCTCTAGTTTGGTTAGGTGGCACCCTGCTGAAATCACGGTTTCACAGAATCACACAATCACAGAATGTTGGGGGTTGGCAGGGCCCTCTGTGGGTCACCCAGCCCAACCCCCTGCCCAAGCAGGGTCACCCAGAGCAGGCTGCACAGCACCGCGTCCAGGCGGGGCTGGAATATCTCCAGAGAAGGAGACTCCACCGCCTCCCTGGGCAGCCTGGGCCAGGGCTCCGTCACCCTCAGAGGGAAGAAGTTCTTCCTCATGTTCAGCTGGAGCTTCCTCTGCTTCAGTTTGTGCCTGTTGCCCCTTGTCCTGTCGCTGGGCACCACTGGAAAGAGTCTGGCCCCGTCCTCCTGACCCCCACCCTCCCACCCACCCTTAGGATATTTAGAGGCTTTTCTAAGGTCCCCTCTCAGCCTTCTCTTCTCCAGGCTGAACAAGCCCAGCTCCCTCAGCCTCTCCTCGTAGGAGAGATGCTCCAGTCCCCTCACCATCCTTGTAGCCCTAAATGACTTGTCACTCGACCACCTCTGGAAAACCAAGCACTGACAAGCCGGTGTTGTTTCATCCTATTACTTTGTACTCACGCTGCAGTGCCCTGAAGCACTGAAAATGCTCAGACTACTTAATCAACTTCGTTCAGACTCCTACTCAGACTCCCACTCACTAGCAGTATGATTCTCTTAAGCTACTTTGATCTCGCAGGCGCCTGAGCAACTTAAAATGCCATTTGCCGACTGCGTGTTCTGGGTACTTACAGGGCTGTGAGCTTTAGTAACTTCAAGTAATTACAATGCTCTATTACTTTATCAATTATATTCACATGTTCACCCAATAAACAAGCCGGATTCTCTTAAACTTCTTTGATCTCGAACGCTCTGGAGCCCCGTACGGTGCCATTTGCAGAGTACACATGTCACGTCCTTAAGGACCTCTGAGTCATTCGAGTTCTCGATGGACAGCAGAGTTAAAATGAGGGTGCAGGATGTTTATTTAGTCACATATGGCCTGGTTTTAATGATGCATAAAGAATAAGCTTTGAAAGTTGTTGCTTTCTGTTGCTTCTGTTTATCTTTTTTAACGCAGAATTTACCAGCCCAGTGAATCATGTAAATCTTTTTCCCTGGTTTGGTCACTTCATCTCTCCAGTCACTTTGATTGCTAGAAATTTGTTAGGAAGGAGAAAACACAGAGGAAGACATTGCTGACTCCTGTCAGAAGAAAAAGAAAGCATTTTCCTTGATGGAAAACTGCGTGTTTGTACAGAGGAGATAAAGATTATAACTGCCTGAAACACGCATTTGGGGATTTATATCATGCAATAAAATGATCATGTGGAAATGAGAAGCTACATAAATAACTAGTTTAGAAAAGTCCCAGCCACATACACACATTCAGAACAGAGAGTGAGCCCAACTGGCTGTAAATAAAAAGCCAGAATTTCAGCTTCGCAATCAGGTAGAGACACCTCTAGAGATCAGACCACGGAGATGGAGCCCGTTCGTCATTCTAATCATGTCACTTGTTTACTACAAAAGCAGAAATGCTGCTACCTGCTCTCGAAGTAAGATCTGATTGTGAGCAAAGCACAGAAAATGGGCAGTTAAATATAATTGCAGCAGCTGTTTGTGATCCTGAGCGCTCCAGCTATTCAGCGCTCCTGCAGTTGCGTTGGTGACATTTGTCTTTTATTAGTGTTTTTCCATACCAAAGTCAATCTAATGAGAAGATCAAGCTGCTGGTGGGACATATAAAATGAAGAAATCAATCTTTAGAAGTCAAAATGGTAAAAGTAAAACGAATCGTGGTGGAAGGGGAAAATGCAACTTTGTCTGGTGGGAGACTACATGAGGCATCAACAGAACCCATCCCAGAGAGCACTGTCAAGGGTTTAATTTCTGTAATGATGTTACATTAATTTCTGTAATGATGCGCAGCTGGAGTTTTGCTACATGTCAGCCAGGGAAACTAGGAAGTGAAATGTGTGAGGTAGGTGATACGAGGGGTCAGCAGCCGACTGTAGCAGGGCGCTGCATGCAGAGTAGCGCTTCCACAGCAAGCGAGCAGAGCTTTTGCATCCAGGGAACCTTTCCCATCCCTCCTGGATGGGAGTAGACTGCTCACCCCCAGCTCACTTGCCCCAGGGATGTCTCCCAAAGTGGGTAGAATTCAGCTGCATCCGTTTTCCAGAATAAAACAGAACTGCACTACAATGGCTTGGGCTTCTGGTAATTTTGCATGTTAATTTGGCCTTGCTAGCAGCGTGCAATATTAATAACGTGCAGCTTTGATGGCCTCGATATCCTAATGCCTCTTTTTGCAAACCGTTCCCGTTAGGAAATCAATATATCAGAGCTACCAAATAAAATGAGTTCATCTAAAAATAGTCAAATGTTGACAAGATTTTCAGTGAAGTTTGACGAAGGAAGCTTTATAAAGTGAAAGCAGGCCAAAAGTGACAGATGGGTACAAATCCTCTCCTAATCTTCAAATCCTGTAGTTTAAAAAGTGGCATTCTTGACCAGCTAAGGCTGGGTTAATTTTGTGCAAGAATATTTTCCCTGCTGAAGCCTTCTTTATTGGATGTTAATCCAATTCCTTTGATTTATAGCATCTCTAAACATCCGGAGTGGTCAGCGACTACTCTGTACAAGTTTAGGATATTTAAAGGCGCTTTGGCGTTGAACTCGGGTGTGCCAGGCAGCTAAAGCCTGCTAGGAGATTCTGGTGGTGGTTTTGTACTGTAGTCAAGAGGTTTTTCTTTAATGGATGGCCCCTCTCCCCCAGAGTCCTGTAGAAATTGAGTTTCATTACTGTGCAACAAAAAAGATGAATTTCATTTTTCCCTGCTGTGAAGCAGTCATGAAAGATATTGATATTTAGGTGCTGTATCCAGAGCCAGATATCAGCTCAAAACATGTTTTCTTAGCTAGCATTTGCCGGGGTGCCCCATGTTTCCCGGAGCCCCCCGCAAGGAGAGCAGGTGGCTGCTCCTCCACGCGTCCTCCCCGGGGGGACCACAAGCTCACGCCTGGCCGGGCCCTGCACCTCTCCCTGCGGGTGCCGTTTGCGTTAGAATTCATCTGAGAACCCCAAGATACGGCTGATGTGCACCATTACTTGAGACACTTGCTGTCAGTACCGTAGTGTTTCTTCAAGCAAGACTTTATGCCAGCGGTCCATGGCCCAAATTGCCTGAATACTCCAATTTTAGCAACAAAATTTATTTTCTGCTGAGATAAAATGCGGCTGTTAGCCCTGCAACATGTTGCAGTCTGTCTCGGGATGAAATGCGGTTTGTTCTCTGCCCTCCCCGACCGTGC